ACAGAGGAGCTTCTCTGCGGCCGCGTAATTTGACAGTTTTGAGAGGTTAGCCGGGAGTAAGTGACGCGCCGCGTGAGTATACACTAGGCTTAACAATCTGTGCATTTTTGCTGATGTCCTTGTAATTACAAACATTACAAACATAAACAAAGAAGATGTGTGTGTTTATGTTTGTAATGCCCTGTACTGCACAACACACTTATGTTTTTATTACTAATATCTGCTATTTATGTTTGTGTGTGGCGTTGCTTGTTGATGGCTGAAACATCCACCTGTCATGGGACTACAGGTGGAAACTCGCTAAATCTGGCATATTTGCACAGACACATGTTTATTAATGGCCACTGTCCCATTCAAATATAAAAATAAATAAATCAATAAAAAGGCATGGGACTGCCCAGGGCACGGTGGGCAGCCTAAAGTCTGACCTCGTACAACTTACCACAACTTCAAAGTACATAGTCGAGTTGTCTTTGCTCCTTTTGAGTTCAAAACAAACAAGATCAAACCGTCATCACTTCCTCCTTCATGTCTGTTGGCTTTGAAATGGCGTTTGTGCTCAAGAGGTTTTGTAAGATTTTCTGTTGGACTTCAGAGTGTTTGTGAGTGAAATCAATGTTGGCTCTTGTGCAATGTCTATTTTCTTTGTTCCTGCACACCACACACTGTACAACCAGAACAGTTATCCCTGTGTTTTTATAATCACCACGGGAGGCTTCTCTCACGTCTGGAGTATCTGCATTTTAAAATCTTGCCGAGTGAACCACCCCTTAGATCAAAGCATTTCCTCCTCAGCGCATCCAGAAATCTATTTTGAGAATGGTGTTACTACTGTCTGGAAGTGCCTGTGCTGTTGTACTGTTGGAGACCAGACCATGGGCTACTGCAGGAGGAATGTTGTTGAATCCTTTTTACTTTCTTCACTTTTACTTCATTGTCGCCTCCTAAACACTTAAAGCAGACTGTGGACCAGAGCAGTGCAGGGCTGTCTTCTACAGTCAGTACTGATTGGTGACCTCACTGTGCAAAACCGGGAAGACAAGAGGGCGCTCAGAAGCATCACTTCTACTATTCTACTAATATTTCGGGCCTCTATGGTGTCAGGATATTTTCGGTGAACAATATTCCTTTCAAGTTACAGTTTTTTCTCAGTCGCTTTGGTGCATTTCTCTCATCAGACTTAAAGTTCTCAAAACTATTAGTTCAACCTCCACAACATTGAGTCATGTGTGACATCATCGCAGCAGTTTCTCCTTTGAACACTTTACAAATGCTTTTGTTCATGTATCAGTAACTTTCATACAATTCTCTGCTGTTTTAGAACATTATCATTTTTTTCTGTCCTGTCAGTCAAAATGAAACATACTTATAACTGCTGAATAGTCATTCCCTATAAAACCAATAGTCCTGATATCATTGCTTTAGTCACGACACACACAATTGTTGAACTAGTTCTCAAAATCAAAATCTTTCAAGCTAATTTTATACTTAATCATTAGCGTGGATGTCTAGGGATAATTTTTGGACAGTTTTTCTGTGATATCACAGAAAAACTGTTTACATTTGTGCACAGTTCTACCATAATGCTATTTTTTACGTTTGTTCTACGTATTTAATGTACGTTTTTTGCACAATGCAGTAGAATTGCAAAGAGCATATGCAGATAATATGTGGAACACACACACATACACGCACCCACCCACATAATATATTATTATTACATTTGTAACTTTGTCCCAGACATCACAAGATAACGACAGCGTCAATGAAAATCTATTTACATAGCTTACATCATGGGCAGCGACAAAGTGTGTCCTGCTGTGGTTTACTAAAGCTATAGGTGTTCGGAGGCTACAAACAAATAATACTTGCTTTAAAATGAAACGTGGTTACAGTTTTTTCTCAGTCGCTTTGGTGCGTTTCTCACATCAGACTTAAAGTTCTCAAAACTATTAGTTCAACCTCCACAACATTGACTCATGTGTGACATCACCGCAGCATTTTCTCCTTTGAACACATTTCAAATGCTTTCGTTCATGTATCAGTTACTTTCATACAATTCTCTGCTGTTTTATAACATTATCATTTGCTTCTGTCCAGTCAGTCAAAATGAAACATACTTAGAACTTCTGAATAGTCTTTCCCTATAAAACCAATAGTCCTCATTTCATCGCTTTGGTAATCACAAACAAAAGTGTTGTAACTAGTTCTCAAAATCATATTTGTCAAGATAATTTCATACATTTCTTTTTATCATTTTTTTTCCTGTAAATCTTTCCTAAATTGAACGATTGCTCTCAGGTGAATTTTAAGTTTTTACTCATGAGGTGTGTGTTTTTATTGTTTACATTTGTCACAGTTCTACCGTAATGTAAGTAAGTAAGTAAGTAAGTAAGTTTTTATTTATATACCGCCTTTTCACTGCAGATCTGAGTCTCAAAGCGGTTTATAATTGTTAATTTTGGGCATTTGTCTCTCACTCCACACAGATGGGAGCGGGGCCAGTATAGGAGGCGCATGCCAGAACTATTGGACATATTTTTAGTGGTAGGGGAAACCGGAGTACCCGGAGGAAACCTACGCAGACACGGGGAGAACATGCAAACTCCACTCAGAAAGGCCCTGGTCCGACCGGGATTCGAACCCAGGACCTTCTTGCTGAGAGGCGAGAGTGCTATCCACTCAGCCACCGTGCCGTAATGCTATTTCTTGTATGTTTGTTCAATGTAAAGACACGTAAGTGACTGTATTTTTGTTGCACAATGCTGCAGAATTGCAAAGAGCCTAAGCAGCAAATATGTGAAATACACATACGTATACATACACATACTTACATACATATAGTACACAAATATGTGTCTTGTACTCAGTTACCTCTCTAAATACATGTTTTCAGCTGTACAGTGTATAGTGCTCACTAAGTGTCACCAAGAGCTGACTTTTTTACATTGAAAACACAGAGAGAGTAAACTTTCACAATGAAAACATGACTAAGTCATGTGACTGTGTTGTTCATACTCAATGTTGTTAGGACTTACTGTATAATTTTGACGACAGTTTCATTGACATGAAAACTTGCTTTTGAGGAATTAACTTCTCATTTTGAGAAAGTGACACACTTTTGCAGGTTATCCACAAGGTTTTGCAGTTTGCACTAATTGTTCTGAGAAATGTTGCAAATCTGAAGAATGATGTGAGAAATGCACCAAAGCAACTGAGAAAAACTGTACTATCCACAACAGAAAAACCCGGAGGGAGAGAAAAGTCACACGTGCCAGAGGTGAGGCTGATGGTGAAAACTGCAGCGGAGGAACATTCGAGAGGGTGCAAGCAAAGCCCTCCACCTCTGATAAGGGGGGATCCCGCCAAGCCCATCACTTGCGTCACTACGCGAGTGAAAATACGCAAGGCTCTTATCTTGGGCTGGCGAGTGCAGCTCGAAACACGCCGCTACGCTCGTCTCCTCGTGTTTTGTGGACGGTCCTCGCTGATAACCTGGGGGCGAGTCTCTACGCTTCACATGACGTGTGATGTGTGTACAAAGTGTTACGCCGAATCAAGGAAATACATGCTCATTTCATGCAATGGGAACGGCCTTTTAGGTGGGGGGGTCGCGGGGGAGCAGCGCAATTATCATGGGGGTTGTGGGCTAATAACTTTGTACCATGCAGTTGTGTAAAGGGCTCACCAAGTGTCACCAAGATCTGACTTTTTTGCATTGAAAACACAGAGAGTAAAGGGTCACAATGAAAACCCAGAAAGAAAAGTGTCACAATGAAAACATGACTAATTCATTTGACTCTGTTGTTCATAAACACTGGTGTCATTATTTTGAGAAACAGACAGTTTCATTGAACTAAAGACTTGCTGCTGAGGAATTAACTTTTTATTTTGAGAATGTGAGGCACTTTTACAGGTTATCCACGAGGTTTTGCAGTTTGCACTAACTGTTCTGAGAAATGTGAAGAATGATGTGAGAAATGCACCAAAGCCATAGAGAAAAAACTAACAGGAAAGATACAACATCTTCCAAGGACATGGTATTGCTACTTTGTGTAACAGGTACAATAGTTAGGAAGGAATTTTTCAGTGTGGGAAGCTGCCCACCCTTGGCCGTGAAGAACAGAAGTACAGCTACCGATGAAGATTCGGGGAAGGCCAGCACCTATATATGCACAGTTTGTATTAGCAGCCAAGACGGAGAAAGACTACTCGGTTGAACTCTGTATTAGCCCCGTGGCCATGTAACTTTATATGTGATCTACAAAGGCCTGCTGCTGCATTAACATTTATCTCGTTCCGGCTGATTGTACAGTACTTCCAACAACAAACCTGGATGTGAGGAAACTAAACAAAGGTTAACTTATATTTCTCGACAATGGTGAGCACAGGCCGTTGCTTGGGCAGACATCTTGAGTTACTGGGGCTTGAATGAAAGCGCCATACACAACATAACACGTCCTAATGTGAAAAGTGGATTTCCTGTCGACAGTCTACAGCTCACAATATTCATACTGTACATGTAAACAAACGATGCTTATTGATTTATGTATATCCATGCACACTGTAGGTGTACAATTATAATACGGCTGGAGAGTACCAGATGGAGATATATGCGTGTTGGGCTCTACAGAGACGTTCTGTAACACCTCTGTTTCACTTTGTCACCTCATGCACTCATCCTTTTGACAGCTGTAAGATAAGAGATCCTGTATTAAGACCACCTCGAAATGGCTTGGTTTTAATATTCCAGGCAGTCAAAAAATTCACTCATGGATACTGCTTCCACTGTTAATTTCCTGTATTTCCTCTCAGACCAGGGCCATCTCTTTGCAATTTATTTTAGCTAATGCAAAAGTCATCCTCAATATTGAACTTGAAGGAGAAAACTTCTAGATCGTAGCAGTAGATACTGACTAAACACTATCGATTAGGCCTTTGGTGCTTTGTAACAGCAGACATGAGGACGATCAGTACTCAATAATTGGGTCAGTACTCACAGCAGACACTGGACCTGGTTCCCACCGTGTTGCTCGGCATCCCAAAGTACGAGTCGAACAAATGAGGCCAGCCGTTGTTGTCACCTGTGAGGAACAAAACAAAGACTCAGAAAGTATTCACTGAAGAAAGTGATAATAAAAGTTGTAATTCTATTTAAAAAGTAGACAGATTCTGTATTCGCTCTGATATAGATTTGGCACTGTTCCAAAGCCGCGCACCTGTTGTTTCCTCCTGAGAAATCAGGGGAAATGATGAACCTCATGTTCATTTCCCCTGATTTCATCAGAATGTGGCTGCTGCCTCTCATTGGGTTGGATGAAAAGAATCTTGTGTGCGCCAGACAAGTGAATAAAAACAAGCTAAAAAGTACAGAAATAACTACTTGGATTTGCAGGACGGTACGTTTATGACCTGTGGACTACGACCTCAACGACTGACCCCAGTTTGTAAGAACCAGGGACTTTGTGTCCTGACCTGCAGTGTGGGGGCCCCCAGGGGACTGTCCTTGTGTCGTTCCACCAAAAAAACCAGTTCCTTTGTTTTATTATGATGTTACGTGCCAGGCCCTTACTGTCCAGGAGAGGGAGCTGTCTGGGGTTTGCCTGCCTTCTCTGCTGTCTCCTCCTATGTGCAGGTCCACACCTGCACCATGCCACGCCCATCATCAATGGGTCTTTTCACCTGGGAGCTGAGAGCTGCTCACTAGTGATGGCAATATGAAGCCCCATGAAGCCTTGAGGGATCGCAGCCTATTACTCGGCCCATGAGTCAAAGGCTCGAGGTGAATCATGCTCCACTACGCCATCATGTGGACAAAGAAATACATAACACTCTTAAGTGCTTACAATGAATGGTGAGATCTAATGTTAAAATGTATATTTACAATATATGGTCTAACGTGTTGTGTTTGAAATGATGCTTCATGAACTATGAACTATTTGAGTCTTTCAGTCAATTGTGTTGATACAACAAACACATCCAAAGTAATACAGTTCTACAGAAAGTGATGAATGAAGGAAAAACTACCAAGAGGTGGATTAATTAAACACAACAAACCATTTATTCCCAATAAATAAATACATTTACTTTGCAACACAAAATTTATTATGGGTAGACCAGGATTCGAACGCTATATCTTCTACTTCGGAATCCGTCATAGACCGACTGCGCCACACAGCTGTTGTGAAATGTATTATCCAGCGTATTATTAGTAATAACTTGAAGCCTTGATATATGAGGTTTTACTAAAGTGAAACGTTTTTAATTGTATTTCATATGAAGTTGTTTCTCTATACTTAGTACAGGACTGCTCCACATCACGCACACACACGTACGCACACACACGTACGCACACACACACACGTACGCACACAGAGGCAGACGGGGACAGCCAATACAGTCTATGGTACAGCACGCTTCAAAAATTACGCCCCTTTTTTACTCGGTACACGCTTCGAAGACCCGGCACGCTCAGCACATCACTACTGCTCACTCTCCTCCTGTCCTCCTGTTCTCCGGTGCTGCTGCTCGGCTTGGTCCTGTCTTGGTGGGCTCTTCTTGAGCCACCATGTCCATTCATCTTTTGCACATTTGAGTTTGTCTTTTGTTTTATGCACCACATTCACTGCAAACCACACACTGGCTTTCATTGCACTCACACACCTGCACCACACACTGATTACAAAATGCTCACACCTCATACCTTGTTTTTGTTCCTGTTATACTAATCTTTTGTTATTATTAAATATACTTTGTTCACCTTTTTCCCTTAAATTGAGAAAATATATATATACAGTATACTATTTGACTACTATCTCTATACAGCTTCTTTATGGATATTGCACTCTGTATTTTTACTTTATTTTTATTTATTTTTTTACTTTTTTAGTACAAAAATTATGTATTTGTGATAGAAGTCTTCTTGCGGAGCCTTAACAGAAAAATAATTATTTCAGCCAGGGGAACCTCGCAGCTCATGGTGACATGGAAATATTCCCCGTAAGGACTGATGGTCTGATACTGTGTGTGCGCATGTGTGTGTGTGTGCGTCTGTGTCACTGTGGTCCCACATCTTTTTAAACAAAGTGAACTAATATTGCTCAATGTTACAATCTTTCCCTCTTCCGAAATACCACAGACGTCTCCAGCTTCTGATAATAACTTCTCATTCCGACAATGCTGTTCAGGAACTTTTTCTGCCCTTTCAAGCAACGGTTTTACATGCAAATCAGTTTGGGGAGATTTCTGAAGTCAAACATCTTCACAACAGTGCGCCTCCATGTGTGTCTGAAATCTCTCCAACATTTCCCCCTCTGGCTCAACGCAAGGTCCAGAATAAACAACAAACCGCATGGAAATAAGATGGAACACCAGCCTGGGACATTGCAACAACTTTCTACCAGCAATATCTACAGAACCTATGGGAAAAACAATGTCACTATCAAAATCAAAAGTCAATTCAATTTCAATTCAATTTATTTTTGTATAACCCTAGTTTTGTCGAATTTGCCAACACAGATCAGTAATATCATCATAAAAGCAATCATAAAAACACACCATTGGTCTATAACGGGAGGATGACCTATGTCCATAAATGTGGACGAGTCTTCTCACTCTGTTTCAGGAAATTATTTTCTTCTATTTTGTTATAGGTATGTTTTTAAACTAACAACAATTATGTTGCTCCTGTGTTTGCCTGAAATAATAAAGAAATACGAATAAAAAGTTGTCAGTTTGAGTTTGTTCTTGTTCGGCACCAGCTTTAGAAAAAAATAATATTTGATGAGACAATACCTTGTTAGGTTGAATAAGATCAAAGTGATCCTATACATCGGTAATGTTCCCCCATCCCTGATATTTATTAAACCTCCTTCCCATAGTTGTCACCAGCCGCCACTGGTATTTATATATAGTTTTAAAATGAGGAGGTAAATAGAAGCGTCCACAGCGTCCCATGGGCCGGGGTTGGTCCACCACTGCTTTATCCTTGCTAATAACATTAGACATGTTTATCAATACAATTTCCACTTAGGACATTCTGTAATCTAAATTATAAAATGTCAGTATAAACTCCAGAGTCTCCTCAAAATGAACACAAATAATAAAGAATATTTAACCTTTCTGTGTGAAGACCATGATTACAGTGGAGGACTTTGCTCTGTCGGTCCCACATGTATGAGGTCTGTGACCCCTGAAGACTGTGCAGATGATCCCTTTTACTGGATCATATGTATAATAGAATATATACAAGCATACAAGAGAAAGCTGCCGTGGTATGTTTTATAACTCTTGGCCTTGGATGAAATTATGTTATTGAGCAACATAAAGGCTCGTCAACAGTGGATTATGACAATTCTTGACCTTTAGAGTTCTGTGTGCATGTGTAGTGTATGTGGGTGGTAGTCTTATGCATGGTTTTGTGAAAAAGGTATTCAACCCTGACTCGCTGTTTTGAAACAACAAAGGACAAATGACTTTTCAATCTTGTTCCATCCATGCTTTGTCACTAATCCACTGCTTACTCTTCAGACTTGAGCTGATAGAAAAACGTTCTCCTCAGAGAGAGGGACTTTTATTCAAGCTGCAGTTTCATTACTTCATTATTTGGCGACTTAATCTCACATGTATTTGTTTATGTGTATGTTTATGGGGTGGGAGTCTACCTGTTTTTACTTCTGTCCTACTCCATTTTGAGCAGACAAATTGTAGATAGAAATGCATTTTTAGAAACATAATGATATCGTAAATATTCAACACATTGTGAAACTAGGACAAATATTGTTGCTTGTTTTTATATTTATGCAAATATATTTACATGAGTAAGTATTCTGCACGCACAGACGGCAAGATCGTGTCAAGGTCATGTAAACTAATTTAAAAACTGTAAATACTTATGATGGGAAAACATTTCTGCTCGATGAATGAAGAAAAACAAAAATCTTCAGTACAGCTGCATCTTTGAATTTGATTTAAACAGCACCATGACTATTGTTCATCACAACTCTCTATTAAAGGCAATTCACCTGGGCTGGCCCCTCCCACCTCTGACATCACCAACATTTCTGGAAGCAACATTAGATAGATAGATGGATAAATAGATAGATAGATACTTTATTGATCCCCCTGTAAGAGAAATTCAGGTGTCCAGCATGGACACCTGAATATTCTACACACACCATTATGATGGTGTGTGTAGCATATGGGGCAGATGCCCGACCAATCACGATTATGAGGATTCTTATAAATATTCTTTAAAAATATGACCCTACAATTAGTCCAAAGTGGCTTTAGGGCCCGGTCTAAAACATATCTTTTTGGTGAACACTGAGTTCCTGCTGAGAGAAGTGAATGTTTTGAGCCTGATTAGTTTCACGCTCTCTGTTTCTAAAGTTGCCGACTAATGTGGCTCACAGCAGCACTTCCAGCCCATGAAGAGCGCTGTTATCACTGCACAATTTGTGATATTTGGTGCATGTGCAGGGGGAGCAGAAAATACTTTTTTCCCCAGTTATCCTGTAGAAGCGGCCAGCCCAGAGACATCCATGGAGATAGAGCAATAGTTTGAATGGATAGAATTGGCCACTGCCAATCCCCATGGATCTCTATCACACAGTCCATAGCGTAGTCCAGCTTGTAACTACTGTAAATGTTATAGTAAAGGCGTCACGTTACAATGATGGGCGGCCAAACATAATACATCCTTAGTGACTAGCGCATTGCAAAAACATAACATGTGCACATTCAGTCTATAAGCTAACGGTATGTGCCGCAGCGTTGAGGGGATTAGCTTCACGCACCCACACCATCTACTGCCAAAGCCCAGAAAGTGTTTGATATTTCTCTCTTGCGTTGTTGTCGAAGTAATGTAAGGCAGTGTCTGTAGTGCATATACTGTACAGTACTTCACTGGTCCCTTTTATAAGCATGGACTCGCTGCAGAGAGGCTGCTAACAGAACATCTGTGTGAGGATGACTTTGAGTGGGCCCTCAAGCCACAGGTAAATCAGTGAAACTACAGGCCAGTCAGTGCATGGAGTGGACCTTAATGTAACTATGGAGGTCAAATAATAATAATAATAATGCATCGGTTTTTTGGACACTCAAAGACGCTTTACATGTCATTATTCTTTCACTCCAAACACGGTGATGATAAACTACTACTGTAGCCACAGCTGCCCTGGGGCACACTGACAGAAGCGAGGCAACCAGTATGCGCCATCGGCCCCTCCGACCACCACCAACCATTCACACACACACCAGACTCCTTCTAGGCAATGGGGGTGAAGTGTCTTGCCTAAAGACACAACAGCAGTTTGGCACTTTACAGCCGCAGCCGCCCCACTGTGGCATGATGTTCCCAGAGGTTAATTGTCTTGCCAAGGACACAACAACAGCAGACAGTGGGAGTCGATGGTGAAAGTCAGGCGCGAACCCACGACCCTCTGGCTCAAAGGCCAATGCTCTACCAACTGAGCTACTGTCGCCCTATAAATGAGAGGATCCTACAGCTTCAGTGAAGACTTACAATACACAATACAATACAATACAATTTATTCTTGTATAGCCCTAGGTCACAACGGAACTCATCTCAGAGGACTTAACAAAACCATTGAAATCACCAACACAGGTCAGAGAATCAACAGTTAAAACACATGAAGAATATAAAGCACACACAGAAGAAAATGTCCATACATGTTGTAGAATGCTAAAGTGTCCTGATCATCACCAATCCTTTCTGTTGGACACTAACTGTCCAACAAGACCCTCCTGCATCGGCAAGGAAAAACTCTGAAAAAACCCAGTGGGAAAACGTGAGAAACCTTGGGGAGCACTAGGGAAACCCACAGGGAGGGAGACCCATATGAGAAAGGGATCAGCTCCTCCGGACGGACAGGCTAATGATCTAGGACCTAAGCTAGCTACAGAATGTGGACCAGTGGCCGCTGAACGTGGACAGGTCCGGTGCAGGACCGAAGCACTCCCAGGCGGGTCGGGCGGGGCAGTCCGCAGGTGTAGATGGAGGAGGCCAGGCTCAGAGATCCCGTCATCGTACCATGAAACAGACAATGGGACAACGGGTGAATAGCAATAAACAAACTACAGTCAGAATCCTAAAAAATGCTAAACAGATAAAGTAGGAAGGAGGAGAGGATAGTGCTCAAGTTACCATACTTCTCCCAGCAAACTGACTCCCTATGCAGCTTGACTGACACTCTGAGGAGTTTAACCTTCTCCGAGTCTTACCTTCCTAGCCATATGCTAAACTAAAGAGGACTGTTTTAAACCTAGCCTTGAATAAAGAATAACATACAGCATAATATATAACATAATATACAACATAACACAATACATTATTGAATAATATATAACATAATATATAACATAATACAGCATATATATATAATAATATATACACTACATATTATATATTACCTAATTATATGCTAAATTAAAGTAAAGTGCTTTAAGCCTGGCCTTGAATGTGGAGACCGTATCTGCTTCCTTAACATAAATGGGAAGCTGATTCCACAGTAAAGGAGCTTGGTAGCTAAATGCTCTGCCACCAACAGTGACCTTTGAGACCTTAGGGACCACCAGACGTCTGGCGTTTTGTGAGCGCAACGCTCGACCTGGTTGATACGACACTAACGTGTCTTGGAGATAAGAGGGAGCCAAGCCATTTATGGCTTTATATGTTAAGAGAAGGATTTTAAACTTTATTCTGTACTCCACAGGGAGCCAGTGGAGTGATTTTAACACCGGAGTTATGTGCTCCCTCCTTTTGGTACCTGTTAAGATCCTAGCTGCTGTATTCTGAACGAGCTGGAAGCTCTTCAAAGAGGCTTTAGGGCACGCTGCCAGTAAAGCGTTACAGTAGTCGAGCCTTGAGGTGACAAACGCGTGAATGAGTTTTTCCGCGTCACTTTTAGGAAGGAAATTCCTAATTTTAGCGATGTTCCGTAAGTGGAAGTACGCCGTTTTAGTTGCTTGGCTTATATAAGCCTTGAAGGAGAGTTCTTGGTCAAAAATGACTCCAAGATTCCTCACAGTGTTACTGGGTATTATACTGACATTATCGAGAGTAACCATCTGGTTAGTGAGGGAGTCACGCAGGCGCTTCGGACCGAGTAGGATCACTTCTGTCTTCTCCGGGTTGAGAAGTAGGAAGTTAAGAGTCATCCACATTTTAAGGTCCTTTATGCAGGCACTGAGCTTTTCTAGCTGATCTGTCTGGTTAGGCTTCATCGACAGATAAAGCTGTGTGTCATCTGCATAGCAGTGGAAATTAATTCCATGCTTTTTAATAATGTTTCCCAGTGGCAGCATGTAGAGAGTAAAAAGAATCGGTCCGAGTACCAAACCCTGCGGCACACCGAATTCCACTCCAGAATAAGGCGACGAGTCCTGATTCACATTGACGAAGTGATATCGATCTGATAAATAGGATTTAAACCAGCCAAGGGCTGTTCCTCTAAGACCTATATCACATTCTAGCCTCTGCAGTAGAATGCTGTGGTCTATTGTGTCAAATGCAGCACTAAGGTCCAGTAGGACCAGCACTGACACTTATCCATTATCGGCAGCTAGTAGTAAGTCATTTGTGACTTTGACTAGTGCCGTTTCAGTGCTATGATGAGCTCTGAATCCTGATTGAAAGACTTCAAACATATTATTTTCCTGCAGGTGGCAGCGGAGCTGCTCAGCTATAAGTTTTTCCAGGATTTAAGATATAAAAGTGAGGTTTGAGATCGGTCTGTAGTTTGTAAGTATTTCTGGGTCCAGGTTTGTTTTCTTCAGAAGGGGTTTGATTACCGCGGTTTTAAAAGCTTGTGGGACATAGCCACATTGTATGGATGCGTTTATTATATTTACGATAGGCTCAATTATCAAAGGAAGTATGTCTTTGAAGAGCCATGTCGGGACTGCGTCTAACATGCAAGTTGAGGCTTTTGAGGATGTGACCACAGAGATCACCTCTGCTTGGCTCACAGCCATGAATTTATCAAGGCCCACTGAAGAGTCTAAGTGGGAAGTCACGTATGCCGCTTCAACCTGTCCACCACTAACAGCAGGAGCAACCTCCTCCAGCTTGTCACGGATGGATGTAATTTTATTATTAAAGAAGTGGAGAAAGTCGACACTGCTCAGTGAGCTTGGAATTTTAGGCTCGATTGCGCTATGGCAGTTTGTGAGTTTAGCGACGGTGCCAAACAAAAATCTACTGTTGTTTTTATTCGCTTCTATTAAAGTTGAATAGTATTGTTTTCGAGCCCCGCGAAGGGCCTTCTTGTAGTTTCGGAGACCTGCTTTCCACTCCCTGTGGACAGGCTCCGAGTGGGAGTGGCGATATAGCCTCTCCAATTTTACTTAGTAAAATTGGAGATTTAGACTTAGTGAGCATGTTATGAGCGTCAAAACTCATTCAATTCAATATATTTTTGTACAGCCCTAAAGCACAACAGTAGCTATCATGGAGGACTTTACAAAGCTGTCGATTCACCAACACAAATCAAAGAATGAAAACAGTTAAAATACAAGAATTGCAATGATTATAAACACATTGGTTCTTGATGGGTGGATGTGTCATGCCCTCAGCTGTGTCTCTAGTCTTCACTGCCAGACTGTGAAGACTAGAGACCACAGGCTCCTCCCTGTGTGTGGACATGGATGGAGTCTGGAGCTGCTCACCTGCTCTCACTTCTACAGACAAGCAAACCTACTGTACATCTAGCCAGCTCTCCAGACAAACTCTGCCAGATTATTACGTCTAATCCATGGTGATTTTTTTTATGTTGATACTTTTTCCTCCTTTTCCAGTGTCCCTAGCTCGTGGGCCAACACAAGTGGCAGCAATTCTAGGACTCCTTCCTGAAACTACAATTTTCAAGAAATCGTACATTTTTCACTTCTGCTTTAAGTCTGGTTTTTGGGTCCTAATCGCCAAGTCTAAACAAGATGACCAAAGTCCATAAACGTCGCTGAATACCTAGTGTCCTGGATCATCACCACTGTCCTTAGACCCTTATGCATCGGCAAGGAGCAACTCAGTG